AATGTAAGAATGTCATGGCAACACTTGTGCAGATGTTGTGTGACTGTGACTGACATTTGCCATGGCACTTGAGTGACTTAAAAAATACTTGACTGGAGTGAAAATATATCATTATTTTATAAATTGTACATGTACTACACATTTATGATGGTTAAATCAATGAACACCATTTGAAAATGCTCCAATGATTTTTCATCAGCCAATTAATTAATGTAGTAATCAAATCTTGTTTGTTTTTTTACAGTTGACCAACTATGTAATGCATAAAGATCTGTCATTTGTTGCTATCTCAGGTCCAACACAAGATCAGCAACCTGTGTTTCAGTGGAGCACTTCACCATACTTGGATGTCCTCCATCTTGGACACCCAGACAAATTTGACTTTGGTCCAGTGCAAGTAAACTGGAAGAATGACTAGCACCATTTATATTATCACCCACTTATAGTTATTCACTGAGTCTTCAGTATCAGACATGCATAACAGTGTTTATTTAGCAGTTTCATGCAGAAAAATTATATTTTGAGAAAACAAATTACTTTACAAGAGACCTTAATGGAACGTGACGAGACTTCCTTGATCATATTTTGTACACACTGATGAAGCAAGGCAATAGAATTTGTGTCATCTTGGTATTCATTTGTAGATTCCTAGACATGTCTGAGAAGTAACATAGCAAACTATTGAAAATGGCAAGCCAAATTGTTTTGATGTTTTATTGGTAGGTACTTTTGAAGACCTCTGTCAAATTTTTGTAAATTTTCTAAAAATATTAAATGGAAAAAGTTGTGCAAGTCAAAATAAAATAAAGGAATAGATATTGATCAATATTTTATTGTATTGAATCTGATAATGTATAACATCACTAATGAGATATCCTTATATACACATGAGGTAATTTTCGAAATGATCAGGGGTATTTAGCTCTTGACCAAAAATTTAAAATTGCATTTTCACTTTGTATATACCATTCTATGACCAATACATGTATATGGACTTTAATAATTCTATGTAACGATTATTGTATTAAACATACTGAGATCAGGTTCTGACATGTTTGAATCCCTGTTTTTGATATCATGAATAGGGGGGTCACCATGTTTCAGATATGCGCTTATGCATATATATTTAACAATTTCAGAACAAAAGATGATAAAGGTAATCATACAAATGTGTTCTCAATAACTATTACCTATATTGCCTATAAATTTTTTTGGGTTGAAGTTGCCAAATAACTAATAACTATGCAATGCGGCTAGAATCCCAAGTCCATGTGCTGCTGATATCAGATTATTTTATTTAAAGTCGCCATGGTATAAGATATTTACTGGATTTATCCAATTATAACAGGAGGCTATGGACAACACAATTACTACAAAGAGCTGTGATCAAAAAAGTTAAATGATGAAAAAATAAGTTTTAAATAGTTAGCACGTTTTAAAATATGATGGGGTAGGTCAACTGAGACCCCCCCCCCCCTCCAGGCTGATGTGCCAGTATTATTGCGTTACTATGACTTTCCCTTCCGTATGGGCAAACCAATAAACTTGCTGTAAACACCTGTATCTGAGTTCCATTTTAAAAAGAAAACAAATGAAAATCAATCGGGACCATAAATAATACCTTAGTGATGTGTAATTGCACAGATAAATTAGCACGTCCTTGAAAAGACATACAGACCTAAGGTAGAGATACAGTTTACCTGACAGGTATTTTAATTAGGAAACCAAGATGACCTCCCTGGTCCACAAAACTATATATTTTTGGAAAGCTTATTGTATGAATTTTAAAATTTTGTTAGTATTTTTTTATGGACACTGTAGTTTGAAATATGCACAAAAATGTGCTTTTTTTGGTCAAAAGTGATTCCAAAAAAATTAGCTTCTAAACCATGCTTCTGTTTCCTGTCAAAATTAGTTTATGGGTACATCTATTTACTATGAAGAAAGCGCCGTCTTGAAAACTGTCTACCAGTTGTCAATTTTGCAAATTTCAAATTTCACTACTTTAAGTTTATGCATAAATTAACACCCAGGCTAGTTGTCCGTACGATTGTTGTATCACTGCTCAACAACTGAGCCGAACAGAATATAAACAGTATAATAATAAATTGCACTGCCGAACAGAGAAATCATGTGCTATAAAACAGCGTTACTTATAGATCTATCTACTGTAAAATACTTTATTTCAGTTTCAATTAATTTTCGCTGAAACTACTTTTTGGGTGTTTTGTATGGAATTTATGCAAGTATTTTACAGTGATTAATTTATTCTGAGCATTCGCAGTTGTTCTGTCAATGTTGCTGGGAGAGGGAATTTTTGATGAAAATCATGAAAAAGACCTACTTAGAATTTTCAGATCAGATCTGGAAAATTTTTGTGCATAATCAAAATATTATAATTGTTCATCAACCTGCCAAGTTTCATTGATAGCTGCTGCAGAATTTTCAAAGAAATAGTTGGAGACAGAAAATAGTAATTGCCAAAACCCGATTTAGAAGTCTTTTTTAAGGTTGCCCCTGAATGGGGACTGACAAAAGTAATAATTTTAAGCTGGGGGCATATGCCTATTGATCCAGGAATACACAAAAAAAACAAGTGCAGTTAATTTTTAATGTTGATAATTATCCAGGAAAAGCTACATTACTACACACTTATATTTATTTTTACCAAATACTGGAAATACAGTAACTTCTTGTGACAAATTGTTAATGCATGAGAAAGTAAACACATGGCACAAATATAGTGATGCCATTACAGGTCAATCTTCAGTTGATATTTGTGTGAACTGACAGCTAGCTGGCTACTGAACCATAAGCATCTTGGACATATTAGTAATAAAGTATTGCATATACTTTAATTACATCATAGTCAGTTAGGTGGCATCTTCTTAAGAACGACAATCATCCAATACCATGTGAAGCATACTTTAAACCTGTTGTAATTGGTAAATGTGAATGTACTACTAAATATTTCAGTTGTACATAAATGTTCTTTACTCTCGGAGGGCTTCAGTTAATTCAGCAAAGTTGGTGGCAAACCATTTTGCTTGTTCCCGGACTTTTGGTCTGATCTGGTTTCCACCAAAGCCGATGAATGCATCCTGCAATAGACAAATAGTTGTTTTCTGTTAGTGCATCTTACATTTTGAGTGAGGTGGCTAAATAAGTATTCCACCACTTATTACAAAATTGCTCTTAATATTTATTCCATGCAATTTGAAGTAGTCTACTAACCATTATACAACACAGTTAATATCCATCTGACTATAATGTCCACTTGACATGACACTAATCATTTTTCATTTTTTTGGGTAACAACATGTACTTGAAACCAGGGTAATTTTACTGTTTCTTCAAATCTATGTAGTTTTCTTTATATACATGTACCTTGTTATTACGTGATATTCTGGGCTCGTGCTTTTTTATTATGGTAACCCGTAATTGTGACGTAATTGAAAAGTTTTGAATTGTTACCCCCATTGTGTGTAAAACATGATCTCGCAGTGGACTTGGTGCAAGAAATACCAGAGTTTCATACTGTAAAATACTTCCACTTGGAATTTATTTTCGTGAAGGGATGATTCAGTGAAAATAGAATAGTGTATTGTGGCACTCCCAGGGTGTATTGTGGCACTCCTAGGGTGTATTGTGGTGCTCCCAGGGTGTATTATGATACGCCCATAGTGTATTGTGGCACTCCTAGGATGTATTGTGGCACTCCTAGGGTGTATTGTGGCACTCCCAGAGTGTATTGAGGCACTCCTAGGGTGTATTGTGATACACCCATAGTGTATTGTGGCACTCCTAGGGTGTATTGTGGCACTCCCATGGTGTATTGTGGCACTCCCAGGGTGGATTGTGGCACTCCCATGGTGTATTGTGGCACTACCAGGGTGTATTGTGGCACTACCAGGGTGCTTTGTGGCACTCCCAGGTTGTATTGTGGCACTCCCAGGGTGTATTGTTGCACACCCAGGGTGCATTGTGGCACTCCCAGGGTGCATTGTGGCACTCCCAGGGTGTACTGTGGCACTCCCAGCGTGCATTATGGCCATTCCAGGGTATATTCTGGCACTCCCAGGGTGTATTGTTGTTCTCCCATAGTGTATTTTGGCACTCCCAGGGTGCATTGTGGCACTCCCAGGGTGCATTGTAGCACTCCCAGGGTGCATTGTAGCACTCCCAGGGTGCATTGTAGCACTCCCAGGGTGCATTGTGGCACTCCCATGGTGCATTGTGGCACTCCCAGGGTGCATTGTGGCACTCCCAGGGTGTATTGTGGCACTCCCAGGGTGTATTGTGGTACTCCCAGGGTGTATTGTGGCACTACCAGGGTGCTTCGTGGCACTCTCAGGTTGTATTGTGGCACTCCCAGGGTGTATTGTGGCACTCCCAGGGTGCATTGTGGCACTCCCATGGTGCATTGTGGCACTCCCAGGGTGCATTGTGGCACTCCCAGGGTGTATTGTGGCACTCCAAGGGTGTATCGTTGCACTCCCAGGATGTATCGTGGCACTCCCAGGGTGTATTGTGGCACTCCAAGGGTGTATTGTGGTACTCCCAGGGTGTATTGTGGCACTCCCATAGTGCATTGTGGCACTCCCAGGGCGCATTGTGGCACTCCCAGGGTGTATTGTGACACTCCCAGGGTGTATTGTGGTACTCCCAGGGTGTATCGTGGCACTCCAAGGGTGTATTGTGGTACTCCCAGGGTGTATCGTGGCACTCCCAGGATGTATTGTGGCACTGCCAGGATGTATTGTGGCACTTCCAGAGTGTATTCTGGCACTCCCATGGTGCATTGTGGTACTCTCATTGTGCATTGTAGTACTCCCATGGTGCAATGTGGTACTTCCATTGTGCATTGTAGTACTCCCATGATGCTTTGTGTTACTCTCATGCACAGGTTATTATTAACATATCTGCTAACTCCTCCCTCACTATTTTATTGTCATAATGAAACCAAACCACTGGTTAAGAAATAACATTTCTCAACCAAGTGTTGGAACAGAACTAAATACACAATAAAATTAACATACAGCTGGAGGACAGGCTTCTAAATCTGTTGCACCATCTCCAATCATAACAAGATTCTTGTATCCATATTTTTTCTTCAATAGACCAACAACTTCTGGCTTTCCTCCTTCTCTGGATGTGGGCTGATCATCATCAAATCCAGCATACTCTCCTTAATAACAAAGTAATACACATACTATAACAGTGCTGAATGGCCACGGTGTCATACAGTCCATACTAAGGAAAAGTTTCCATGTTACAATGATTAGAAGACAAACAAGACATACTTACCATCAAAGTAAAATTTCAATTTATTGCAATAGATGTTTTTAATTGGTATATTTAATATTTTGGCCATAGGTTGTATTATAGAATACAAACCACCTGAGACAAGATAAACATCAATCCTTTTATCATGTAGTATTTGTATTAGTTCTCTGAAAAAGAACAAGAACAAGCATATGAGTGCAGGCTCTAGCTCTAATACATAGATACTGTGCATTAACTCAAGTCTTGAAGGAATATCTATTAAGATTTCAAAAAACAAAAGATTGAAGAAGGAGGTACAGTATTTGCTCTGTTAGAAGCATATGCACTTAAATATGTAAATAACAGCATACAATAAACATAGTTTTGGTGTCTTTGTGCTTCTATCAGAAATATGCTTCTAACAAAACAAATATTATGGTAAATCTTTCCGGTATAGAAGCAAATATGTGGTGGTTAGTGACAAAATACTCACTTGACTCCACTGGTGAATCTTGGAGGGTGCTCCTTGATAAAACTTTCAATCTGTTGTCTTGATGGATAAAGTATTTGTAACCTAGCATCAAGTGTTTCACGATAAGTTATAGCACCATCCATGGCTTTCAATGTCCTGAAATCAACAGTATAGAATACATACGATGCAATTATCAACTCAATGCACAATTAAATTAAAGAACGACAAGCCATGCATGGCACAGTACCCGTTAGTTATCAAATTTAAGATATATAGTTTTGTTTATAGTAATATAAACATGTCAGGAATATGATTATGATTTTTTAACATTAAAATGATTGACATCTTGTATCTGATCGTCAAACAAGTACTTGTCCATATTGTCCATACTCGGCCATTTTGAATACATCTACATATTTAAAACATAATGTATAATGAATATATAAAATTTTAACAATCAGTCAAAGCATCTCAGAGATATGGGTCTGCATTCATTTAAACAAAATGGATACCAATCAGCCATTTTGAATATGATCTGAAAAATAAAATGACGTGCATCAGGAATTCATAATGTCTAATGTATGTACAAGTTTGAACAAAATCTATCCATAATAATAGTAGTAGTATTGTTTATTAAAGTGATGTGTGACAATAAGAAAATATTCAGTAAATACATAGCTTGAAAATAAAAATCTGTCACCCAGCCCAATGGGCTTACAAGTCACTGGAGTCATGTATATGTACTCACATATAGAGAGTGTATGTCAAATAAAGATATTGTATGTATTATTTCTTGTAAAATATAATATCTACTGATGAACAACACAAACAGGTTATCTCGTCTCTTCTGAAATGATCTTGTAATATATTTTGCTATCGCTCTAACATGGTTCACCATAAAGTAACTTATTTTTTCTATATCAGTTAACAAATTAAATTGGTTTCTGGAAATACTAAATTCATTAAATAGCTGCTCACATAATTCTGTGTATAATGGACAATACAGTAAGAAGTGTACTGTAAAATCTGTATTAGAAGCCGCGGCTTCTATTAAAATGGTACAATGCAACAGAGGGGATGCGGCTTCTATTAGAGCATCTACACATATGAGAAATGATGAATTTTTAGTTCTCAATTATTCAAATAGTATGGATGCGACTTCTATTAGGGATGCGGCTTCTAATACAGATTTTACGGTATTTCATCTTCTGTTACATTTAAAGAACATAATTTACAAATGCGTCTGTCTACGGTTTCATGTCTATATCGTCCCGTTTCAATACGCAAAGGAAGTATACCAAAACAGAGCTGTGCTAAAAACGATCTTTCACCCCTAGACATGTTTAATGATAAGTAACTTTTTTCTCAGATTTAAATTTAATAAAAGTACATAGTTTGGGTTTAATATTAACATTATTATGCCAGTTTTTAATGGAAATTTCATTTTTCTTTTATTTAATACCATCAACATTGCATAAATATATGTCCTCAATATCTAACAAATCAAAAATATTACACATATGTTCAATTTCCATATCCCAGAGCATGTTCCCATACAAACCCTTTCTTAGTTAACCTTGATTCGTCTAACATGCATAACCTGTTCTAGTATCTAGCCATATTATCCCAATGCCGTGAACTGCACGTAGACCAACCCGTATCCCCTGTTAATGCTAAAGTTGGAGCGTATTTATGCTCTCCTAAGAAGAATCTAAGTGTCCTGTTTTGAACTGCATTGCAACATGGGTAGCTATTATAACCCCAAATACCGGAACAATAATCTATAATTGGGACAATTGTAGAATTGTATATTTTTAGTCCCCGTTCGGACGTAGTCTGAAAACGGGGACTTATGTTTTGCCCTGTGTGCGTCCGTGCATCTGTGCGTCCGTGATCACCTGTATTTCGAACGTGCATGGACCGATTAAGTTCAAACTTCACTTGTACATCACACATTATATGGGACATACTGTATGCACATGCATTTTTTTCATGATCCGATTAACGATAGCCAAATGGCGGCCGCTTTAAGGCTGAAAATGCATTGAAATCGCACATATTCACCATTCCGGACCCGGATCTCAGTTATGCATGGACGGATTTTGTTCAAATTTGGTACATACATTAAACATAATAGGACCTTGATGCACGTCATTTTTTTTTTCAGATCAAGTTTTACAGAATTCAGTTCTGGATCCGTATCCGAGACATGTCTGGATTGATAAAGTTCAAACTTCACACACACATGGTACATCATGTCACAAATAAATATGTGCATTTGTTTCATGATCCGCTTAACAATAGCTGAATGATGGCCATTTTAAGGCCGATAATGCATAAAAATCACGTATTTTCACAATTCCGGAACCGGATCTCAGTCATGCATGGATGGATTTTGTTCAGATTTAGTGTTGTACATATGCAGGTGCATTTTGGATCAGACCACTGAAAGTCGTCTGAGATTTCGGTCATGATCTGCTTTGAATGTACAAAATGTATATGTCACTCAAATATGAATGGAACGGGGATGTGTCATTGACAATGACTTGTAGTATATGTTTTAAACCCCATATTATTTAAGAATTTAAATGTTGACATAAGAGCACCCAGTCCCGTATTTGCAGCATCAGCTAAAGCATTTACAGTCACCGACAAATCTAGGTTTTCATTCAATAATATCCCCAGATATTTATAACGCCGAGCATAACTAATAATGTTATCACCTATTCTAAACGTATATTGACTACATTATGTATTCTTTTTCCTAAAATGAATAACGTTTGATTTAACAAAATTAACCTTTAGTCTCCATTTATAACACCATGTATTAACCTGATCTAACATTTTTTGCAAATTACTTTCAGAATCTGAAAAATAACTATATCGTCTGCATACAGCGATATGCACATATTTGAATCAATAATATTAATGCCACAACTCAAATCTTTCAAATCCTGCACGAGATCGTTAATAAAATAAGGTTGGTGACAGGTTATCACCTGGTTTAACCCCTGTTGTCGTCCTAAAGCTAGCAGACAAATTATTATTAAGACTGATTGACGCATTCGTCTCATTATAAATAGATTTTATAGAATATACCTTGCCATCAACTCCATTAATTAATAGTTTATATAACAGTGCTTCTCTATCAACCAAATCGAATGCTTTATGTAAATCCAAGAATACTGCAAAAGTAGGTAACTTTTCATTTAATCTATTACGAATAAGCGAAGTTAGAACATAAATATGATCCTGGCAAGATCTATGCTTCCTAAACCCATTTTGTTCATCGGCTAAAATATTATTATTTTCTAAATATTGTACCAGTTGGTAGTTCAAAAATGAACTTTATAATTTAGAGATTGTACTCTGTAAGCTGACACCCTGGTAATTCATAGGAATACGTGGATCTGACGTTCTAGCTTTGCGAATTGGAATAACAACTACAGATTTCCATGCTGTCGGAATATAACTGGTATCAAAACAAAATTGAAATAAACGAACTAATAATTAAATCAATACATTTACAATTTTTTAGAACCTCATAAGGAATTCCATCAATCCCAGGACTATTTCCCATTTTTGTATAACTTACTAATTTACGGATCTCGTCATATGTAATATTACTATTTAATACTGGGTTTGATATGTAATCAGATTCACTCAATCTTTGTTATAAAATATTTTCATTTGATTCCGAAATTCAATATCATAATCCTCTGAGAACTGATTTAGCCAAGTATCCAAAACCTCATTAAAATCTGATACAATACCACCTTCGTCATCATAAACTTCCATAATTATATTTTTTCGTTTAGGAGGTCCTAAATTTTTAACATGATTCCAGAACATGTTAGGATCACAAGTAAACACTGTTTCAATTTCATAAAGTTTTCCTTTCCTGTAACGGCGATCATAGTACCGCAATCTTTTATCAAAAACACGTTGAGCAGCTTTAAAATCATTAAGTAATACGTTTTTAACTACACGATTATCATTACGCAAATTATATGACAGAAATCTTCGCTCAGCTTCGTGCATCTTTTTCCATAAATTATTGAACTCCTCATTCCAATATGGTTTATGATGATGTAGGCGTTTACGTGATTTCCCATTACATTCTATGTATGGAAAATTAGCATTCAATTCATTCATAATATAATTACAGAGTTAGTTGTAAACCGCATCAACACTCTCCTGTCTTGCTCGACATGTCTCTATTTCACGGCTTATTACATTTATTGTACGTATACTCAGTTCCGAACACATCAAATCAGCAGGAATGTTTTATAATTTATATTTTCTATGTCTAAATTTACTCGGATGATTTATGTTTTCTTTTCCATTCAAATAATTATCGCTCACCTCCATTCGAAGTACACAATCGAACAAGACAAGAGAATGGGGCAGCACCTTACAACGACTATTCAACAATGGTACTAAATTGTATTCTTCTATCCACGATGACATAGTTTTAACTCTAAAATTATCCCACTTATCTAGACAATCGTGAGGAATCACAATGTAATCTACAACCGCTCTTCCCTTTGTAGACACTGAAGTAAAATTATTATTCTCAGGATTCATTCTACCATTCAATATACACATTTTTGCATCGATTAGAAATTCAATGAAAGAGCTACCATGTTGATTTATTGTTTTGTCCAACACCTGTGCTTATCTCATCTACTATATTGTCATTCAAATTACCTATGCGTGCATTGAGATCTCCACACATAACACTATCAATATCATCTAAGGAATACAATCGACTTAAAATATGAGCGAGATAACTGGATGCGTCTCCACCCATGGCGAATTTTCAGGGGCTAAGTAACAAGAAAAGATTAAAAAAGCATAATTAACTTCAATGCTAATATTCCTTCATATTCTTTATCAAAGAGTGATACCTCATATTGGTTAAAGAGACTTGTTTTGACAAATGTACCAACCCCTCCAAAACACCTGTGTGCATCAATATGAGAATGCGATCTGTTAAACCTATACCATCTGTATCCATTAATTGTAATATCATTGTTCCCGGACAAGTGAGCCTCATTTATGGAAATAATATCTGCATTGCTATTTAATAATATTTTAGTTCTCAAAATACTGTCATGTTCAGTCCAACCAGCAATATTTAAATGATTATAGAGATGTTATCAGTGATTACATGACTCGGCTTGTCCTAGTTATTTGCTTATTGTGTCTTATGGACAATTCACCAGGTAATTCCCGTAATAACGTACACACATTTAAATCAACAATCCGTTCTACATGTGATTTACAAGCGTTAATGTACACTTGTCTGTATCCATCAGCAGATCTTAATTTATCCTTTACTTGAAGAAATGCCACAAATGCTTGATTTGTGATGATTTTTTAGCACAAAAATGGCCGCCATATGACTATTTTGAATCAGATAGTCAAACCAATAAATCTGTATATATATGTCATGATGTATAATGAATATATAAAATTTAAACACGAGTCAAAGCATGGCAAAGACATGGCACTAAAACTGCATTCATTAAAACAAAATGGCCACCAGTCAGCCATTTTGAATCCGATCTGAAAAATAAAATGACATGCATCAGGAACCCATAATGTCTAATGTATGTACTAAGTTTGAACAAAAACCATTCCATAAATGCTTGATATTTAATGATTTTTTAGCACAAAAATGGCTGCATTTTTGCCATTTCGAATCAGAATGTGAAACAAATTGATGTGCATATTTATAATATTATGCATGATGTATGTATGAAGTTTGAATGTAATTGGTCCAGGCATGTCTAAGATATAGGTTCGGACACACGCATGTACGCACAGAAGCAAGGACGCACAGAGGTCAATCCATAAGTCCTCGTTTTTGAACAGCTGGGACTAAAAAAGCTTATAGTAAAGGTAGCAAGAAAAGAAAAATGAGTAATAGTTTAATTGTGATTAGGACATTCACCACCAATTACTTATTGATTTAATTTTCTAATTGTTTACTTTAGTTTGTTACTTTTTTAGCTAGCTGTTGTTTATTTAAACAACATACTTGGAGGTCAGGGGTCATGGCGATGCGAGTGACTATCGCGCCCAGGTCAGCTCCCAAGAAAAGGCATACAATCAAGTTATGGGTTAAGTCTGATCACTTTATATTACCACGAGTCTGTTAATGAAATACGAGTCACTAACTAGGTAAAATGTCAAAGAACGACAAGGAAAACAGCAGAACAACCAGAAAAAACAGCAGCAAAAAAGAAAGGAGACCAACAATCAAAGCTAGCATTCAACAGGACTTTCTAACATGGCATCAACGCACATGCTTGGGATGCAAATGTAGCTCGAGC